AAACAAAAAACCCTGTCTTGAAAAACAAAACAAAAACATATATCTTAAAAAAGATGAACACATGAGGAGGAGAGTCGGGGGTCAGGATCAAGCGTGGAGAGAGACAGGAGAGACAGAAGAGCAGGCCAGGAGAATGAATGGAAACCTGCAGCTGGCAGGAGTAGGGAGTGGGGGCATCTTGCAAATGTGCCAGAGACCTGAGATGAGGGAAGCTCCCAGGAATCAATGGGGGTGACCTTAGCTTAGACTCACAGCAGGGAGGATATGGAACCTGTAGAGGTCACCTCCTGCAGCCAGGAATGAACACCAGTGGAGTGATAGGAATACCAACCCACCCACAAAACTTCTGACCAAAATTTATCCTGTCTACAAGAAATGGAGGGACAGTGATGGAGCAGAGATTGAGGGAAAGGCCAACCAATAACCAGCTCAATGTGAGACCCATCCCATAGGCAAGCAGCAATCCCTGAGCCTATTAATAATATTCTATTATGCTTGCAGACAGGACCCTAGCATAACTGTCCTGAGAGGCTCCACCAAACAGTACACTAAAACAGATGCAGAGACCCACAGCAAAACACTGGACAGAGCTTAGGGACTCTTACAGCAGAGTTGAAGGAAGGATTGAGGGTCCCAAAGGGGATAGGAACTTCACAGGAAGACCAATAAAGTCAACGAACCTGGACCTTTGTGGGTTCTCAAAGACTGAACCACCAACCAAAGAGCATACATGGGGTGGACTTAGACATCCACTCCACAAATCACAGATCATTCTTCACATGTCTCCTCCAACAACTGGAGAAGGGGCTATCTCTAAAGCTATTGCCTGTCTGTGGAATGTGTTCCCTTAACTGGGCTACCTTGTCTGGCCTCAGTGTGAGAAGATGTGCCTAACCCTGAAAAGACCAGAGTGGGAGGACTACCCAGGGAAGCCTCCACCCTCTCAGAAGAGAAGAGGATGGGGGGGGGAAGGGGAACAGGGACTGTGTGAAGGGAAAACTGATGGGAGGGGGCAGCGATCGTGATGTAAAGTGAATAAAAAACATGGGAAAAAAAACAATGATAGGTTAAATAAATAAATAAATAAATAAATAAATAAATACAGGCTATCAGAAATGGGGGCTCGGAAAGTAGCTCAGCTACTAGAGTGCTTGCCTAGTGTGCATGAAAAAGTCCTGGGTTCAATCCCCACCATCCCATAAAACTGGGCACAATAATACACATTTGTAATCTCACATTGCAAGTTCAAATGTCCTGGGCTACATTAGACTATCACGATTAAATTTTTAAAAAATTTAAAGACCATCACAAATAAGGTGTCCTCATTTCTGACAAAAGTCACATTAAGAAGTTAACTATCTTCCACTCTCCATATAAAGACTCACTTTACTCTTATCAGTAATATGTCTTCTTCAGAAAGGAGTTTTCTAACCAGCCACCAAAGATACTATGCTTAGAGTGATTAAATGGCTCAGTGACAGTAATAAAATAACAATGATTGCTCATTAAATGTCTGTGTTCTGTCCTGGACTTCAGAAATCAGAGGTAAAGTCACGTGGGTCTTGCTGACTTCCTATGCCCCACACAGACGAGTGCTTGGCACATGTTCATTCAACAGACTTTCTGGAGGGGAAAGCCATCTAACAGAGTTCTCGGAAGCAAGGGAAGGTATGGCAGGGCTATTGAAATCTAAGGATCAGAACATCTCTCTGTCTCCACATAAGATGGAAACAGGTTTTTCCAAGGCAGTCAACTGTGATAAAGGAAGTAACTATACCACGGGTATCATTATCAGTGTACCCTCGGACTTTCTACAACACGTTTATAACACGTGTGCTCTTATGACTGAAAAGTCTCCATCCAAATATCTCACAGGTATTAAACACACTCATTCTGAAAGTCTTTAGAAATGTTTTTGGAAATTGGTCATTTTGCAATACATACAACATAATATTCCATCTTCAAACAAACTTGCTAAAACTAGGCTCCTTTTTCCCTTTATGTTTTAGACCCCTGAAATGAATACTGATTCCTAATTAAACTTTCAGACCTATGGGATACAGTAGTAACAATTTCTCACAACACAAAGAGTTTCTGTGAACTGTTAAAGGGACTTCCCAGGAAATTACTGGTAAATCAATCCAGATATCTAAATCCAAAGTAAACTTCCCAAACATGAGCTTCAAATTCTAAGGGGGGAGTAGAAGAGAGAGCTGTCTGTTCAAATGGTAAGGACTTCAATGACTGAAGTAACATCTTTAAAAAAAAAAAAAAAACTTTCTGTGGTTTACTGTGTAAAAATTCATAATCAGAAAGGCCATGGGTAGCATTTGGCACAAGCTCCTAAGTGAGAGTGCTATGTCTTCAGAAGTCTATGACAGAAGAAGGTTAGATGGGTCCCATGGTTTCCAATCATTCAACCGGACTTACAACTTCATTTTAGATCATGAACACATCACATATTACCTTAATAGCTTAAAGCTAATCCTGCATGACATAAATTTTAAAGTAAGCCAAGGTCATGAAAAGTATCCAAAACTGCAGTGAACAAAACAAAATGCTGGTGTTTTAGAAAGTGTGTGTTCCATATTTCCAAGTTCTGTTTAAGAATCTGGGTTTTCAACAATACAGTATCTGACAGCTCCATCAAGAGCTCTGGATACCCAACTGTTTTGATACAGATGATCTAATCTGATTCACTTAACAGTTGTGAAATTGGCAGATCAATGCTTTTATGATGAAACGAAGAACATAAGGTTCCAAGAGTAATTTTCGTGACAAGGATAGTACCTGAGGAAGTGGGAGAACTATGTCATTTCTATCCCCAGACTGCTGCTAGCTCTACAGTGCTGGCTGCTTTGGCACCTCCCCAACTGCCATTCATTCTTTATACCTCGGCACAAGCAATGGGGCAGTAATGCCATATCTTCAAGTACAGAAAGTCATGTCAAAACATTTTCCTCCAAATCAGTCTTGCCCTCTGAGTCCCTGACTGCATGTCTCAAAAGCCCTTACAGGTTGTGACTACTTTGGTCTTGTGTGACACTTGGATTCAGAATGTAATTTGGTACCAGAAAAGGGAAAGACAGTTTTCTCCTCCATGAAAGCCCAGGAATGTCATAACAAGCATCAGAGTCTCTAAATCCATCCACTCTGCGTGTAGTAAAGTGTTGGCCAAAAATCAGAAGAAACTCAAAAGTGTGCGCGTAACAGGTATGCATATTTGGGGAGTACTTCCAGATGTTAGACCTGCAGGTCACTACTAATTCACGTGAGTTGGTTTTTTGAGTTCAACTTTCTCTTTAAGAGTACTTGAGGCCAGGCATCGTGGTGCATGCCTTTATTCCCAGCACTCATGAGGCAGAGGCAGTAAATTCTAGGCCAGCCAGTGCTATATAGTAAGACGGTCTCAGAACAATGATAGATACTGGGAGGGATGAGAGCTCTATTTTTTTCTTAAGCAGTGCATCAAGTATCTGTGAATCTTAAAGTTTAATGGGGGAAAACTAAATTCTTTGCTTTCAAACTCTTAAGCCACACAGATACTGAAAGCTAAAGGTCAGTATCAAATAAAACCCATAGAAAATACAGTCAAAGCAGAACTGATCCTGACTCAGATCCTCAGCAGCAAACACAGCAAAGTCTTTATTTTCCACTATGGATATATATTAGTAAAAGAATCATAAAAAACAAAACAACCCTGTCATCTCAGCCCTGCTCCAGACATGTGGAAAAACAAAACAAAAACAAAATCAAGGAGGAACTAACTGGCTGGTTCTAGGACTCAGCTAGGACTATGAACCTTTGGTCTAGCTGGGTGTGATGGCAAATGCCTATAATACTAGCTGAGGAGAAGGTGAGACTGAGCTACTGAGATGCTGTCTCAAGGTGGAAGGAGGAAGGGAGGGAGCAAGAGAGGAGGGAGGAAGGAGGGAGGGAGTGGTACTAGTACTCTGGTCTAGTACTTTCTGGTTTACTGCTTTATTACCCATTTTCAAATTTGATGCCACCAAAATGTATTTTCATATCAAAAATTATTCAAAGAACTAGAACTAAAAGTCACAACAGCCAAAACCACTAGAATTTTACAATTTGAGTGAGCTTATCATTTAGCTATAAGCAACTATTCTTAATCATAGCTATAATACACAAAAAACTAGGCATTGAAAAACAGGAAAAACATCTGTATTTAATGCTCATAGTAATGGCTTAAGTATTAGACAACATAAAATTTTATCTTCATCTGAATAGTGGCTGGTCTTGCTAAATACTTGCTTTTTGGAATTTTCCCACAGCCATAAGAATGAAAGACAAATAAAGAAACCAGAAGTGCAAGGCACCCTATTACACAGGTATCCAAAGTCACTTCAACAGGGAGTTTCCGTGGCTCAGAGACAAAGGATTCCTCAGAACCATTACTGCAATCTCATTGCTCACTTCTTACTCAACACGGCACTACTAAAGAGGATGTTGCTACCTTCCCACCTTAACTGCCTTATGTGTTGTTCCTGTCACAGCTGGAGTCAACAGAGATAAGTTTGGCTTCTGGAACAACTGAAATGCCAACTTTATTTTTAAAGTTACTATACATGCTTCCACATTATCTGATTCTAAAAATCTTGCAAGAGATGCATATTAGTTACAGCTAGAGAATGAATAACTAACCCTGGTCTAAGTTATATGCTTAAGCAAATAGGACAACAGAAACAAGCTGGACACACTTCTAACAGTTTAATGAAAACCTACTCTTTTGAGGGGGCTTACACTAAAACTCTTCAGACAATAATGCAAGACAATGTAAAAGTCTTTTCATCTGCTAATTAGCCTAGCAGCCTAGCTGGGAGCTGCCTTGGTCTCTCTGCTCCGTGAGAGTGCTCATCAACACTTACTGCTTCAGTAAGGACACGGAGGTATTAAGGGTAGAGAAGAATTTACATTGTGTTCTATTCCTAGACCATTGAGCTGTAAGCACACTAGTCAGGGAAGTGGAATAAACTTACATGATTTATTGTAGACTGGACAGCCTTAACATAATGGTTTAGTTCCCGATCCATTTTAGCAAATTCAACCATGGCCTTGTCCATACTGTACTCACTACTCACTTCAGCTGAAAGAGAAAAAGAAGCCATGATTATTGTTTTCCACTTCAAATGCCACATCTGGAAAAAGTTCAAACAACATAATCATCCAAAGGCTAATCTGTAAAAGTACTGCACTTTTCCTCAAAATCTCTTCAACAATCATCTTTGTCTATTTGTCTGTCCCTCCCTTTCCTGGGGTTTGAGAGCGATTTACGGAATTTGCCTTTTTCATGTGACATCCTGCTCTTCTTTCCTCACCTCTGTTCTTTCACAGAATGAGACTTCCTATGGCTTTCCTAGCCTGTCGCATCTGACACACACACAAATCCACTGTATTGTTATTACAAAAGAGAACTAAGAATTAAAAAAAAAAACAAAATGAGCTGGAAAAATATTAAGTCCTGGTCTCTGGCCTCTTCTGCAACACATCAAGAGACAGGCACCAATCCGTGATTCTTCCTTCTCGGGGTCACTGTCACCCTTCCTTCCAATGTTTCTTCCCTGCTCAAGCTATACTGCTCTTCGCCTGTGGTTTTCAGTTCCTCCAAACATCCTCTGGGCTCTGGAGTCTTAGCTGAGGTTGCCTGGAGGTCACAAGTGGCCAGCAGAGATCCTTGTTAGGCTTTAAAGTTTATTTCTAAAACGTGGCTGGGGCAGATTGGAGAAGGAAAAAGAGACCCACCACCCAGAAGCACTTTGTCACTAGATTCCACAGCATATATTTCCACCATCAAAAATCTCCCACACAGGGCTGGAGAGACAATTCAGACAATCAGAGTACCTACAGCTTGGGTAGTGGATCTGAGCTCAGTTCCCAACTCTCACAAGTAGCAGCTCACAACTGCTTAAAACTCTAGGGACTGAGGATCTGATTCCCCTCCCCAGGCTCCCTGGGGCACCTGCACTCAAATGCATAAGAGCTCTTCCTCCCATCACACACCTAACCCCACATACACTTAACTAAAGGTAAAAATACATCTTTTAAAAATTGCCCCATTTAGCCAGATCTGGTGGCACAGGCAGGAAACCCCAGCACTCAGGAGGCCGAGGAAAGAAGTAGGAATGTAAAGTCAGCCTGGTGTACTTTACCTCATCTCAATACCGCCACTCAAAACACACACACACACACACACATACACACACTCACACACACACACACAGAGAGACAGAGACAGAGAGAGAGAGAGAGAGAGAGAGAGAGAGAGAGAGAGAGAGAGAGAGAGGAGAGAGAGAGAGAGGAGAGAGAGAGAGATTCACAAAACCTTCAAATCCCATCTGTTCTGAAAGTATACCAACCTAGAAGAAACTATTTGTTTAATTTATCTTAACTCCTACACTTCCTATTTTCGCACCATAAATAATCATGCCTTTTTTTATTCCTGGGTTAGAAGCACAATACGTTTTAGCATAGGGGAAGCATCTTTTCCCATCCACACAGGTAGTTTGAAATGCTATGACAAGAGTCAGGTCACCCACTGAATGCTAAGAGAACACCAGTCAAGTCCAGATGCTGAAAAGTCAAGGGTACACAAGTCTAAGAGCACTAGCAACCCAACACACAGACAGAAGTTGCTACAAACTTCCTGTCAGGTCACAAAGAGAACTATAGAGAAATGGTTGGAGGAACAAGAGTCCTACAAAAAACTCCTAAGTAGCACTCATGGTCAGAAATAACTTTTATTACATATATCTAATTCTCTCCCAGCTAAACATGGTCTGAGAGGAGTGGGAATATTGAAATTTCTTCAATATGTCATCCTACAAACAATGATTTATTAGACTCAACACTTTCTTTCCGTAATTGAATGAACCTACATGAACTATATGAATGAACATTGATTTCCAAGCCAAGGCACACATGGAGAAGACCCATGGGACAACTCTGGGAGACTCGTCACCTGGCACATTAATTAAGAAATTGTTCCAAGAAGTTAAAGTTAGTACAATAACTAGCTGAAATATGTCCCCCTATCTCCACACCAGCAAACCAAGTCCAGAGGGCACAGATAATCCCTGCTTTGCATTGTAAAATTCTAGCTGTCTGTAAGCATGCCAGCATTAGGCTGTTCTACAAACCTACCCAACAATGCCAATCACAGCTATTTCTAACACTATGCAGAACCACTGTAGCCTGCACGACCTCACACTACATTATAAGTGTGACTTAGACCAGAAAGAGCCACAAAATAAATAACTCATCCCTTGAAGACAATTTCTGTTTTTGTTTTTCCTACTCAGAGGCAAACTTCAAAAAACAAAACAAAAATCCCCAAGACAAAGAATAACAGAATTACTTAAAGAGGACTTCATTTTAGATTGAAATACTCTGATGCTTACATAATTGGAGAAGTCTCTAACTGGATGAAGCTGGTCTGCTTATGGTTTTCCTAAAGGCAGACAAGCCTATAATTATGCAATCTCGGCAGCCACGCTATTCATTAGACACGTCATCTGTTACTCAATGCTAAAATGCACCAACAGCAATAACTCTTACTATTCTCGGCTTTGAAGCACTGAAAACGAATTGAAGGTATATTAAGCAGAAATGGGTGACTTAGTGCTAGAATCAAACCCAACTTCAAACAAAATTTATAGGCTTTAATGAGAGGAAGATCATGGGCTGAGGCAGGAATAAATATGAATGTATGAAGGCGAAACAGTAGCCACTGCTGCCAGTTGTCCTGGATGTGGAGGACCACGGCAAAATTAGAGACAAATCTGAGACAGGAGGGAGAGGAGGCAAATAAGCTGCTTTTATGGACATGGGCTCTCAAGGTGGAAGAATAACTCCCAAGTTGTGGCTAAAACCTGTAGGTGACAAGCATGGCAATATGGTATCCTTATGTAGCACAGTGTCAGAGCACATGATTTTTCCCCATTCAGTTGCAGTGCTGTCCAGGGTTGATTCATGCCTCTTTGTTCAGTATAATTTTCTAGGCCACAGGTTTAAAAACAGAAGCAGGTGGGGGAAGTTCTTTATCGTGTCATGTCTGAGTCCACCTGGTCATGATCAACAGACCAACCCAACTGCCATTCCAGACCAGCAACCAGGTGAGGGAGGGAGGGAGGGAGGGAGGGAGGGAAAGAGGGAAAGAGGGAAAGAGGGAAAGAGGGAAAGAGGGAAAGAGGGAGGGAGGGAGGTAAGAGGCACAGTTCTGGACCTACTTACTCTAAATAGGGCCTTTCCTAACCACAGGTGTGCTGTGCCTGCAGCCGGTGCAGAGGAATAAACTTCCCTGAGATCTAGCTGTGGGGTTTGGGAAACAGAGTTGAAAGTACTCGAAATCTCTGGGTCTTTTTACTAGACCAGCCTTCATTGAAACAAATATCAAAGTGTAGGCTTTCCCTTCTTGTCTCTCCAAGCAAACCATATACAAAGACCCTGAACGTCACTGTACCTCACATGTTTTTTTGAGGTACACTCATTGAAAGCTCCCTATGATCTCAGCTATAAGGTCCCCTCTGGACATCTCTCTACTGTCCAGAAAAGGATCAAGTATTCCAGCCCATATCAATCCATAAAATCTCTTTACCTTTACCAGTAGGACATGTGTGCACACACACTAGGGAGGCACACCCTCAAGACAAATGTCACCTACTTACTCTTTCCACCTGCAGATCTGACTCAGTTGAACAGCTCTGTCCATGCTCAAGCTGTTTTTCTCAAATTTTGTCCTAAACAAATAACAAGAAAACTGTGGGATCAGGTTAATTTTTCTATTCTACAAAGCTACACACAAGCATGTCTGAACAGAAACACAACCAATTACATGGAGTTGATTAAATTCAACAGCATGTATTTTACTAGTGAATTACCAAGCTAAGACAAAGCAGACATTTAGTGTTGCTAAGGACTGCTGACTATGAGTCAACATGACTCATACACTCAGAAGAATCTGATAAACACTAAATGTCATAAAATACACATACCATTTTGCAAGGAAGGAGGAGGGTGGCAAAGGGTTGCCTGACTTTATTTTAAATTTCTTAGAATAAATGGAACATGTAGCCAGACGATTTTATTTTCTAAAGACTAGGAATAAGTATTTCCAGATCTCTTCAAATGAGAACTTGATTCTTCTGTATTTTCTATAAAAGGCATTTACTTCTTTTTTTTTGAGAAATGAAAACAGATGATAGTATAAACAATATCCTCAACTTCTCTGTGTCAAAAATCAAACCAAAACCTGAGTTCCCCGAAAACTCAGCTCCGGTTATCTATCTCTAGTGACACACGTCTGTGTCTCCCGGTAGACAGGCGTTAAGCAATCCACATTCACCAGGAGTTGAATTTAATGACTTACTCACTTGCTTGAGCAATCTCTAATAGAAACTTGCTTACTTCTCACTACACTGAACTTCAAAGTTGTAATTATTCCTCCACACAGATATTAGTGTGGTAAAATTAAAACTGAATCCCCATGTTACAACTGCCTCCCACTGGAGGTAAGTGTGCAGTATCAGGTGTATGATATAAACCAGTCAGCAGCTGGTTTCTTCCCAAATTCTAGGAGAAATCCAGGAGGCCTTTCCACCTTTCTGCCATCTGCCTACCCACAGCCCTCCCATCATATAATAACAGATGTGGGAAGCTGAACACCACATAACTGAAAGGGCAGTCTTCTTGATTACTTTCTTGCAAATTGTGTAGTCTTTGGAAAGACTGTTTCCTCTATAATGGGTATCAGAATAGGACTGAGGGCTGGAGAGATGGCTGAGTGGTTAAAAGCACTTGTGATTCTTGCAGGAGAACAGGGTTCAATTCCCAGCACACATATGACAGCTCACAAGAGCCTATAACTCCCAATCCAGGAGATTTGATGCCTTCTTTGGCCTCCATCAGCACCAGGAATGCACATGGGCATGGTGTACACTCATACACACAGGCATATACTCATACACATAAAATAAAATACAAATCTTTTAAAACAAGAAAAAGATAAAGAATAGTACCAAGTTCATAAAGTTATTATCATGTAGGTACAGTGCTCAAAGCAGAGTCTGGCTTGGAGTGAATACTAACCAG